GGCTTCTGGGTCTGCCCCAGTCATATACCTATGCAGGGATCATCTTTACATCCTCAGATCCCAGCACAGTGGCAGACTCCTCATAAATACAGGTTGGATAGAACTGAATATCTCACACCTACTAATTAGTATTCCATAGCCCACAAGACTGGGACATCCAAGACCCTGGGTTTAGGGAAAATGTATGCAGGAGGGGCCCTAAGAAAAAATGGCCCCACCGGCTAGGCTAGATTCTGCAGCCTAAGAAAGGAGTCTAAATTCAGACAGCCACCAAAGGCCTGTCACACCCAAGATGTACAGTGAGAGTCGTCTCCATGTAGCTAAGCTGGGAGGAGTCCAGCACAGCCCCTCATGGTTGACAAATGACTCATGTAAGGATGGATGGGCACAGTGGCATCTGGGAAGGACCAGGGTCTTCAGGAAAGGGGGTGCCTAATTCAGAGCATGGGCCGGGCTGTGCAGAGGCCCCACAAGGTTCATCTCTCTTGGTGGGCAGTGGGTTCCCAGAGTTGTAAAATTTCATTTCTCCTGGAGCATCTGATCCATGGGTACTCTGAACTGGTGAAACGGGAAAAGTTCCCTGGTCCCCCTCGCAGGGCGTGCAATGGGGGTGTGGCTCGCTTCTTCAGTGCCCTGCTGCTCAGACCTCTAGGAGAAGCATGCAGGCAGGAAGGCTGTGGGGCAGCTCCAACCTCACGGCAGCATCTGGGGGTGAATGTTTACAGCTGAAGCCCAGTGGGTATGTGTTACAGGATGCTCTTTCAGTTTTGCCATCCATAGGCAGCTTGTGCCCATCAGCTCAGTTAGACCCCCCGCCTTATTGCAAGGACAGAGGGCTTTCTGTATCCTGGGATTTCTTGCCTTGGTGTATGGGAAGAATTGGATCACACATGGGCTTGGAGAATGAGTGCAAGGTTTTACTGAGTAGGAGTATTTCTCACCAGATAGGGGAGCCAGAAGGGAGACTGAGTGGGAAGGTGGTTTTCCCTGGAGTCAGGCTGATCAGCGGCCAGGCTCTCTTCCGACTGCACTTGGTGGAACTCTGCGTTGTTCTGCTGGTCGACGGCCTGTCCATGTCTGCTAGTGCCTGTTGGTATGTTCTTCCTCTTCTCTCGACATCCAGCTGCTTGTGTCTCTGCCCACTAGGGTCTTGGGGGGTTTTATAGACACATAATGGGGGTGCAGCAGGCCAGGGTGGTCTTGGGAAATCCAACATTTGGGCATAAAAACAGAAATGTCTGTCCTCACCTAGGTCCATTGGCACAGGCCCAGGGATGGAGCCCTTGCCAGGGACCATGCTGTTCCCTTCCCAGCACTTCCCTGCCCTCCTCCCATATCACTGGGAATAGTCCAAATGCAGGGCAGCAACTGCAGAGAGAAGCATAACAGTGTCCCTTCCTTCTGTTCACACCCTTCGCCACAACAAAGTGAGAAAAGAGACACAGACAGAAGAGGAAAGTCAAGGCAGCAGCTCAGATGTCTGTCTTCAGTCTGCACTCTGCAGGAATGTGCCTTTAGGTCCAACAGATGATACAGGTGCTGCTGGCAAGAGACCCCTCTGGGGACTGGCTGCCAAGCTCATCCAGTCCAGACAGCAGCTGCGAGCTGGTCTGGGGCAGAGCTGGGGGAGTCATTTACCTCCCATGCCTTGCATATAATAGGGGGTCCCCTAGGTAGGTTCTGGGGCAGGTGATCAGGCAGGAACACCTTCGTCCCAGCCCAGTAGCTTCCTCCCTGCCACCTCTCCCTCTTCCAGGAGTGCTCTGGTGGCTGCAAAGACAGGGCACAAAACCCTACACTGCCAGCCTGGGTACCAGACACTCCTAGCTCTTAGCCCAGGCAAGCTCTCTCTCCACCCCAGGTCTCTGTCTCCGGGGATGCTCCAGGCTGCCTCTGTGTCTCTGTCTTTACCTAGATTGAGCCTCGGTTCCTTTGGGTGTACAATGGGAATGATAATAATAACCTTGATTTTCTACTTGGGACTGTTAGCATAATCCAGGGAGAAGTTGGGTGCAAGGTCCAGGAGGAGCCATCAGAGGCTCCAGGTTAATTATTGTTATTACCTCTGCTTGACTGACGAAGAAAGGGGAAGAAGAGACGTCACATGCTCAGACAGGCCTGCTGTGATCAGACTGAGGCCTGGCTGGAATCTGTTCATTCTATTTCAGCAGGTCTGCAAGCAGGAAGAAGTATCAGGCCCACATCCCAGAAGAATGAGAGCCACTGGCTGAGAGAGGGCAGCGAGGGGGATGGCCAGTGGCCAGGATCATGCCCAAGTGGCTGTCTGGGGCCTCAGCCTCTCAGGGCCCAGGCAGGTGGAACATGCTGGAGGCTAGGGGACCATGAGGCAATCTGAGAGCCTCCCTGCCTGTTCCTAGATCTTCTTAGGGGTAGAACAGCCCTGAGGGGGCAGCTTCCAGGGTTGCCCAGGCTAGACCAGAACAGCCTGATCTCCCCCAGAGACCTCTGGGGTCCTCTGAAGCCTGTCAGGCTCTTCCTTGGAGACCCTCAGTGCCTTCTTCAGGGACAAATAATATGTCAAATGAACTGAAATACCCAGAGAGCCCCCGGGGGCTGGCACTGAGCCTGGCACTGCTGGGAATGCAAAAAGGACTCAGACCCATTGCTCACTCTCCAGGCAATTCCAGTACAGTGTGAGCGGTTGGGGAGGAAGGGTGGCAGGAGGCTGAAGCAGCAAACACCCAGGTGGCTGCCCCCAGGGCAGAACATGAGGTTCCAGGAGACCAGGAGAGCACCGGGAGCCAGAGAGACAGGACATTCCTGTCTGTTGAGGAGAGGTGGGGAAGGTCAGGAAGGCCTTTGTGAAGCTAGAGTTTCCTTAGAGATGTTTCTGAGCCCTGGTTTGGCCCTGAGGCTGGGTTTTTGGGTCTTGAGTCTGCTACTCCTCTGAACAAGTAGTTTTGAATTCTCCCAGCCTGTTTTCTCATCTATAAAAGAAGGAAAATAATGTATCTGGCCATGCTGTGGCCATGATGATGGAATGAGATCATGTTGACAGCACCTAGCAGGGTGTCTGTAAAGCAAGTCTCAACAATACTCACTGTGCTTGACGGTGGATGGGACTGAATTTAAAGAGGTGGGGAAAGGAAGGAGCCAGGGACAGTACAGGGCAATCAGCTCATCAGATTAGGTTTGAGCTACTCAATAGCTCATTTTAGGTAACTAAGGAAGTTTCTATTTAAGGGCTTCAGTGGGAAAATGTTTTGTTAAATGAACATTTCTTTTTTAAAAAGTGAAGGTTCTGGCCAGGCATAGTGGCTCACGCCTGTAATCCCAGCACTTTGGGAGGCTGAGGAGGGCAGAACATGAGGTCAGGAGATGGAGACCATCCTGGATAATACAGACACACCCTGTCTCTACTAAAAATACAAAAAGTTAGCCGGGCATGGTGGCACATGCTTTTAGTCCCAACTACTCAGAAGGCTGAGGCAGGAGAATCACTTGAACCTGGGAGGCAGAGGTTGCAGTAAACTGAGATTGCGCCACTCCAGCCTGGGCGACAGAGCAAGACTGTCTCAAAAAAAAAAAAAGTGAAGATTCTTTTCCCATTTTTCTTCTTTCAAGTCTAGATTTCATAGATTTAGTCCAGTATCCATTAAGCACATGATTTATCCAATACTGCTGATGCTCAGAGTCGTGGCGATCCAGACAGACCAGGTAGCTTCCACCTTCAAGGAGTTTGCAAGTTCAGGTGCACAGCCCTGTGGGAGAAGGTGATTTCATGAAGCCTAACCCAGCACCTCTCTCAAATGCCTCCAAAGCGCTGCGAAGGATGGGTTCCCAAACCCCCAGACACCATGGTGTTGGGTAGATCTGCTTCTTCTGCTAAAATCAAGGGCAAATTGTCCACTGCATACAAAGGTAGGAAAAGTGGGAGCAGCTGGAAGTGAGCGCGAGAGATCTGGTGAGAAATTCCAAGACTCCAAGGCAAAACTTCCCCAACCAGCCCTCCCTTGCTGAATTTAAAACGGACAGCCCAACTGCAAAGAGAAAATTTGTTCTGTGTTCACAGGGAAATGGCCTGTGAAGATCTGACCTTGGCTCTGACTTCCACCCCGTCTTGCCACAGAGCAGAGCCACAGAAGCATTAACCCTCAGTCCACCAAACCACTGCTGTTGAGCATAAGGCATCCAGCTCCTTGCATGGGGCACATCACAGTGATCATTTATGAAGCGTCATCCACTATGTGAGGCAGCTCACTATGCTAGAAGATAGACTCCCTATTTTTCAGAGGAGGAAACTGAAACTTAACACGGTTTAATAACCTGTCTAATACTCATGCAGCTAAAATGAAGCCAGTGAGGAATGCTTATCAGAGCTGGACACCAAAGCCTGTGCTTTTAACCACGGCTCTGCCAGCGCACAAGCCAGCGCTGTTTTAAGAAGCCCTTAACGGACTCCAGTAGTTTTCTTTATGAACCTTTCTGCCATTTAGAACTGTGGATTGTAGAGAAGAGGGTTGGAAACTCACAGCCACGGCGCTGCATCTGATCAAAAATACATTTCATTTAGCTAAAAGAATGTTTTATTGTGTGTGGGTTTGTTCTTTGTTTTTTTGTTTTTTGTAGGGGTGGAGTCTTGCTATGTTGCCCAGGCTGGTCACAAACCCCTGGCCTCCAGTCATTGTCCTGCCTCGGCCTCCCAAAGTGCTATGCCCAGCCCTAAAATAATGTTTTTAAAATTAAAACATTTTAATTTAAGTTAAATGTCTTTCCTAATGTGTACCCAATGTTTGGCCTTTTTAATGTTTAATTACCTGTCTGCCCTGGAAAGCATTAGAATCTGTGACCCCGTAAGAGCCCATCTCTCGCCCTCACTGTGATGTTAGGGCTGATGCCTTAGGACACCTGTGTTTTGAAGGTGCTTCATCTTCTTTCCCTTGGAAGGCACTTTGGGGTCGCCTCATCGGCACTGAGAAATCAGGTTGAGGGCCCAGAAAAACAGATAGGACTCTTAGCCTTTCCTCACTTCACCCAACTTTGCCTCCCGCTTCCCACCCTGCCGAAGACTCCACAGTCCCCGACAAGGGAGCCTGTGTTCCCAGGGCCAGAAGTCCACTGTGTGTGGGCAGCTCAAAGGGGCCGGGCTGCCAGCATTGACCTCGTGATCTTCAGTGGACCCAGAAGTCCACAAGGCCTGGCCTTGACTGAGATCACTGGGCTCAAGGCTGGGCCACTGCCACTTAGTCCAGAGAGCCTACAAATGCAGGGCAGCTCCCATCCCAGCTCTGCTGCACTTCAGGACAGCACCAACTGCAGCTGAGGTGAGGGCCCCAGGCCCAAGGGAGGGGGGTGGCTGGTCCCCTGAGTGTCCTAAGGGCTGTGGGTACCCCCATGGTCACACGTTCCTAAAACAAGTCCTGGGCAGCCTGTCTCATGACACCAGGAAACAGTTGATTGATGGGAAAACTGCTCTGTGTGTGTGTGTGTGTGTGTGTGTGTGTGTGTGTGTGTGTGTGTGCTGGAGTGGGGAAGCGAGGGAAGAGGGAGGGAAGAAGAAAGGAAGGGAAAAAAACAAGAGAGCACTGAGCAATTCCAAAGGCGTGTGGTTTTCTTCTTGTGGTTTGATGCAAGGGCTTGGTGGTTTAAGTAAAGCCCTGAGCCCAGATTGTGGGACAGTTAAAGACTAGGAGGAGCAGGGGCGAGTCCCGAGAACAAAGAGCCTATTGAGGGTGCCCTGCCCAGGGGGAAAAGCAGGCAGCAGAGGGTGGGACAGCCCCACTCACCTGTGGGAGCCCTCCTTGGGCACAGGCTTCCGGGCTACCCAAAAGCCGTCACAAGTATGACTCACCCCGGAACTCCTCTCACAATGGCTGGGGACAGCACTGCATGAGGGGAGCCTCCGACAGAATGTAGCTCCCTATGTGAGCCAGATTTGGGGTTCAGTAGATGAAGGTGCCATAGAGAAAGACCAGAAATGAGAGTTGGGATCTTCATGCTGGAACACTTGCTAACACAGCACCAAGCCTCAGAGCTTGGACCGGGTCACCTGCAGCTCTAGCTCTCTAAGATTCTAGACCTCTCTTTAGGGGTGTGGCTTTTCTTTCTACCTCTTGTTCTCAGCACTCTGAAGGACCCCAAGGTACAGCATGAGAGTAGCTAAAGGCATGCAGCCCTGCTCACTTGCCAGACACACCTAAAGATTCTCTGCTAGCTCATTCAATCCTCACCATTCTAAGAAGTCGGTCCTGTGGTGACTTCTGTTTTACAGAGGAGGAAACTGAAGCACAGAGAGGCTGAGTGAGTTGCTGGTTTGTGGGTCCAGGGAGTGGGCTCTGCGTCTGTATGACTGATGATACACTGGCTCATTAGGGAGAAGGGAGAATGTTCAGGACAGGGGCAAATATCATATCCCAAGGCACAGGCTCCCATGGCCCAGGCCCTTCCTTCAGCCTCCTCCCCACAATAAACACAAGCCAATGCAGAAGAGGATGGTCACCCCCAGAGAGGCCAATGCCCTGGCTCCTGATCCAGAGGAAGGCAGAAGCCTCCTGTGCTGTCTGAGAGACAAGGACTGGCACTGGTTAGAGGGGCGGGCTTGACGAGTCAGACGCCCACTGCACTGAGCAGCCTTTGAATACACCTCTACTGTGAAGAGGGTGCTGAGGGAGTGGAATTTTCTGATAAACCGTAACATCTGGGTATTACACACCCTGTTAGCTTTGAGTGTCGTTGCTGGAAACCTCCTTCAAATGACCGTGTAGGAATAATCCCAGGGCCACCAGCAGGGCAGCTCCCTGTCAGCCCAAAACAGAGCCCCTGGCCAAACACTGACACATACTTTGTGGGTTTCCTTTCGGCTGACCCCCAGGCTGTGGGAACTGAGTTGCAGGCAATCTTTACACCTGGCCCCTCACCCCAGTGCCCCTCCAGTAGCCTCTTGCCTCCCCTCTTCTCACATCACAAGGTGTGCTAAAGTCAATGGGGAGTGGGGAGACCCTCTAAGGTCCCGCAAAGCAGCACAGTGGGTGGAAAGAGAATGTTGGAATCCCAAAGACCATACTTAGAGCCCATCACTCGTGCTCTGACACGAGTAAATAAAAATGCGAAGCTCATGGATTCAAAGGGGCTTAGCTGCTATGGCACTGAGCATGGTGCTTTGCACAGAGTAAGTGCTTAGTGGGTGTTGGCTGTTACTACCTGGCCCAGCTCCTGAGTCTACTGAGAGTGAAGCGACACTGGAGAAGTGATATTGAATAATAATCTGTACCAGGGCGAAGCGTGGTGGTGCAGGCTTGTGATTCCACCTACTCAAAAGGCAGAGGCAGGAGGATAGCTTGAGCCCGGGAGTTCTAGACCAGGCTGGGCAACACAGCAAGACCATCATCTCAAAAAAAAAGAAAGAAAACAAAATGCTGGGTGTGATAGCTCATGCCTATAATCCCAACGATTTGGGAGGCTGAGGCGGGAAGGCTCACTGGAGTCCAGGAGCGAAGGCTGCAGTGAGTTATGATTGTGCTTTTGCACTCCAGCTTGAGTGACAGAGCAAGACTATCTCAACAACAAAATAATAAGACGCACCTTGGCCTTTTTGATTAGCACTTTCCATGTATTTCCTTATTTGTTCTAGGAAATAAGATGAAGAGTCACTTGAGAGCCAGAGAGGTTAAGAAACTTGCTGTCACTTTCCTGGCCTGAGGAGCTCCACAAACCCCAGTACAGAACTTCAAGCCAGGAACCATCTCATGAGAAAAGTCCATGCCCTTCAACTTCGCTTGAGAATGCATTATATCTGGAAGCCATTAGCTTTATCCCTAGTAAGTAAAATTTAATCTGGCTGAGGCAAATAATAAATTAGACTTTTTGGTTTTTTTTTTTTAATTTATTGAGATGGAGTCTCCCTCTGTCACCCAGGCTGGAGTGCAATGGCGTGATCTCGGCTCACTCCAACCTCCGCCTCCCAGGTTCAAGTGATTCTCCTCCCTCAGCCTCCGGAGTAGCTGGATTACAGATGCCCAACAGCACGCCTGGCTAATTTTTAGTAGACATGGGGTTTTACCATGTTGGCCAAGCTGGTCTCGAACTTTTGACCTGAAGTAATCCATCTGCCTCAGCCCACACAAAGTGCTGGGATTACATGCGTGAGTTATGGTGCCCTGCCGAAATTCGACTTTTTAGATCAGGATACATTGGGTTGTGTGAAACCTCAAATCTATTATGTTGAAACTGAACTCTCCTTATTGCTAAATTCACATTGGCAAAGAAATCCACACTTTTACAAAAGGGTTTTCTACCAGACTTCTTGAAATACGGAGCTCTTCCATACTTTTCAGGACCAGAGCTATTACATGAAACTGGGTACACATGGATGCTTGCATGAACAGTGTCAGCACACTTACGTTCTAGTTTATAATGTGTAGAGCCCAAAATCGGAGCTGGCTAGATAGTCTCTGAGGCAAGACTTATTGAGTAACATGCACCTGCTTTGTCCCTGTTATCCTGAAGCATCATGTGTCTGACACAGACTTTGGCTTTCTGGGGTCACCATCCCTGGCATCCTTCCCAAGTTTCTGCCTGAACAATGCTGCTGCCACTGCTTGTAACAACTTGTCCAGGCTGGCAAGAATCTAGATTAGGCCCAAGCCTACATGACCAACCATACCATTTGCCACACCAAGTTTTCCTCTGTTCCTAGACTTGGCTACATTGCTATACCTAGACCATGGCATCTAGCTTTCTAACCAGTTGCTATAGCACCAAATAATGTAAGATAAGGGTGTTAGTGTCTTCTAGGAAATGGAAAACAAAAGAGAGCTACAAAATACATGTCTCTTCATTTCCTTTTCTGTGGATAACTCTGAGGACTGGCTTTCCCTTGAAATTTAGGAGAAAATCCAGCATGCAGCATGAACACACATGCCAATTGACTTGCATGTCTCCTCGTGGTTAATCGTGAAGCAGTGGCCAGCACAGTAACACACTGCATTGTTTTACATGTATCTTTGCCTCACTTCCCATTTTTTTCCACCCTTATCTCCCCGTCCTTATACCTTGCAAATACAGTGTCAGCACTTTAATCTTTGCTTAAAGCTCTGCATTCTAGAAGACATAGGCTAAAACAATTGTCCAAAAGTGATTCTAGAACACAATTCTCAGGATGAGATTATGACTTGAATGTCCCATTTGTCTTAAGGTAATAGGTACTCCATTGCTGGTAGTACATGGCTAGTAACAACTCCTTGGCATTTGGTAGACTCTTTATTTTCTCAAGTTTCACTGTAGTTAATTGGGATAAAGTGCAGGTCAGGCATAAGCCAAGGCACTGAAAGATGAAGTGGCTATGACCTCCAACCAGTATAGAAGCTGAGGTCGTTTGGCTGTGTCCCCACCCAAATCTCATCTTGAATTCCCACGTGCTGTGAGAGGGGCCCAGTGGGAGGTAATTAAATCATGGGGGCAGGTCTTTCCCATGCTGTTCTCACAATACTGAATAAGTCTCATGAAATCTGATGGTTTTAAAAAACAGAGTTTTTCTGCACAAGCCATCTTCGCTTGTCTGCCACCATGTGAAACATGCCTTTCACCTTCCGCCATGACTGTGAGGCCTCCTCAGCTACGTGGAACTGTAAGTTGATTAAACCTCTTTTTTTTTCCGTAAACTTCCCAGTCTCGGGTATGTCTTTATCAGGACCATGAAAACAGACTAATACAGAAGTAATGTTACCAACGAGACTTTTAAACGAGGATGGCTACTTATGGCCGCACTAAAGACATTTAAATAAGTAATCGGTCAGGGAAGTTGATTTATGGCTCTAAAAGCCAGATGACTTCTATGGCAATATTAAAGAAGGTCTTTATTTCCTGCAACATCAGGGGAAAGTGTGAATATCAGGTTCAGAATCTGATTCTAAGAGTTTTGGGGCTTCCATGAAGATGAAATGTGTAGCCTTAGCAAGTATTCTATGTCAAGTCAGGGTCTTGATAGGGAAAGTGTAGAAATCTCAGACTTGGGATGGAGACATTTAGGTGGATAAAACTGAGCATCTAGAAACTCCACATTCCTGTAAGTCCTCGTTCCCCAAAGACATGACACCTTCACCTTTGCCAGAGAAGACTAGATTCTACTTGCTGGCTGTAGAGTATAATAATCTCACCAGACACAGTGGCTTCCCAAGATGACGTCCAACCTCCACCACCTCTCATTGTCTCCAGACCCAGAGCCAGAGGCAGGTCTCGGCAAGCTCAGGCACACATGCAAAATCCTGTTTCAGTGTGAAATTGTCTAGATAAGAAAAAGGTTACAAACCCCGGCAAGAACTGCTGAACATAAAGTGAATATTGAGCCCAAAGAGGGGGGCAGATACAGAGCTGGATACTGGGGTGTTCATTGACATGGGATAACTCATAATTTAATTTTGTATCAAGAACACATGGATAGTTTGGTGGGATGAATATGAGGCCTTGACTCCACAAGGAACTACAGAAAACAAAGTGGAGACCACAGAAATACCTGGGCATAGTGTTGAAGAAAAGAATAGAAGGCTCAGAGAACTGAGCCTGTATAAATATTATACAGGGATTTCTTATGTTTGGACCAAGAACATAAGCATCTAGAAACATAAGATACATACTTTTCACTGACAGTAGAAAGCACATTGGTGAGCAAGATACCAGCATCTTGGAGATGCTCAATGGTGGCTTTCAAAGGCACACACCACAAACACAATTACTTGATAGGCAGCAAGCCAGAGTGCTAGGTTCAGTCAGAGTGCCTTGGTTCACAGGGCTCTATGACAGTAATTAATAGATTACAGAGTCCAAGGAGTGAGTTGCATAGAAAACCAATTAGGGTGCTATTGGATTTATACAAACAAGAAAATATCTCGATCTGGCAAATGAAAGGCTGACATTAACCACTGAAAAGGAAAATTGAGGCCTACTCCTCAAAGTCAGTTTGCAGACCCATAGCCCATTAAGAATGGAATTCTAGAACCATAAGTGCTGGTAAAAATCAGCCTCACAGAAGATCCAGTGCATCTACAAACCCACCCTGTGGCTATTTCCCCAGTGCCCAAGTACATAGTTAGGATAGATGTAGTTAGCATATACTTATGAGCTGGTGGATCCCTCACATTAGTGGCCTGATTTGTGGAGTGAGAATCATTATGAGAAGAAATGGAAGCCCTTGAAAGGCCAAGTGGAAGCTCTTGACATTTTCCTATCCCCAAAACTAGCTTCCAAGAAAAATCAGAAGCAATGCCACATTTTGGGAGGAATTTTAGAGATTAGCATCACCATTCAAGATTTGAGAGATGAAAGTGTTGGTCCCTGTTGTATTACCAATCAGTTCACCTCTGACAGTGGACACTGCAAGCTTAATACTCCATTTAAGCTGCTGGTCAAGATATAAATTTTTTACTTCTTACTTTTTTAGAGATGGGGTCTCACTGTTACCTGGGCTGGACTTGAACTCTTGGACTTCTCGGTCAAGTGCTTCTCTCACTTTCCAAGTAGCTGGGACTACTAGGCACATGCCACTGACTATGGATCTTTACTGGGGCAGATCAACACAGCCTCAGGCAATCCATCAGTAGAGTAGGACCAAAAAAGTTTACCTTTACTTAGCAGGGACGGCAGTACACATTTACTGTTTTGCCTCAAGGCCATGTTAACCTTCTTGCTCTCTGTCATGATATAGCAGAACATCATGTTGATCCACTATAGTAATGAACATGCTAATTGGAATTAGTAATCAGTAACTAGCAAGTGTCCTCAAGGCACTCATAAGATACATGCACACTTTGGGAGGCCGAGGCGGGTGGATCACGAGGTCAAGAGAAGGAGACCATCCTGGTCAACATGGTGAAACCCCGTCTCTACTAAAAATACAAAAAATTAGCTGGGCACGGTGGTGCGTGCCTGTAATCCCAGCTACTCAGGAGGCTGAGGCAGGAGAATTGCCTGAACCCAGGAGGCAGAGGTTGCAGTGAGCCGAGATTGCGCCATTGCACTCCAGCCTGGGTAACAAGAGTGAAACTTGGTCTCAAAAAAAAAAAAAAAGATACATGCACGCCAGGAAGTAAAAAATAAACCCCACAAAGATTAAGAAACATGCTACATTGGTAAGCTTTTCAGAGTCCATCTGTCTGGGATATGTTGGGACACCCCTCTAAGGTAAAGGACATATGCTGCACCTTGCATCTCATAATGCCAAGAAAGAGATATTATGCTGTGTTCTCACTTAAAAGTGGGAGCTAAATGACAAGAACACATGGATACCAGGAGGGGAACAATAGACACTGGGTTTACTTGAGGATGGAGGGTGGAAGGAGGGAGAGGAGCAGAAAAAAATACTTATCAGATAAAAGTACCTAGTATTGGGTACTATGTTTATTATCCACATGATAAAATTATCTGTACATCAAATTCTCATGGCAAACATACACAGTTTATCTTTATAGTAAATATGCACATGTATCCCTGAACCTAAAATAACATTTTTTTAAAATAATAAATTTAAAAAGAGAGGCCATATTCTTTTATTTGAGAGATACTAATCCATAACACTATCTTATACATCATTCGAACAGTTAACTATGATTTTTTTAAAAAAAAGAGACATCAGGTTGGGTGCAGTGGCTCACACCTGTAATCCCAGCACTTTGGAAGGCCAAGGCAGGCTGGTTCGAGACCAGCCTGGCCAATATAGTGATACTCTGTCTCTACTAAAAATACAGAAAATTAGCTGGGCCTGGTGGCAAACACCTATAATCCCAGCTACTTGGGAGGCTGAGGCAGAAGAATCACTTGAACCTAGGAGACAAAGGTTGCAGTGAGCTGAGATTGCCCCACTGCACTCCAGCCCAGGGACTCTGTCTCACTTAAAAAAAAGAAAAGGAGACATCATACTGTAGTTTCTTTGGATTTTTGAAAATGACATAGTATAAACTTCTCTCCCAGTTTCCTGTTGCCTCAGAAAACCACCAGTGTTGAGTGTGGACAGCAAATCCAAGTTGCAGTTCCAGGTATTCTGTCTCTTGGGCCATGTAACAAATAGATCCAGTGGTGCTAGGGGCATCTGTGATAGATAAGGATGTGGCAGTCTTAAATAGAAGAGTCATAGCACAGAGACCTTGGATTCTGAAACAAGGCCATGCAACAGGAGAGAACGATCTTGTTTGGAAAGTGCTCCTGGTATACTACTGGACCCTAGTGGAGACAGAGCAGCTGAACATGGGCACCCTGTCAGCTGATTTCCATTGTGATTTGGTGTTATCTAACCTACGGAGCCCTACTTTTGGACGCATGTAACAACAATCTATCATGCAACAGAAGTGGTACATTTGGATCTAACCTGTAGCAGGTCCAGAAATATTAAGTAAATTATATAAATGAATGGTTCAGACTCCCATTTCACCCATCTCTGCTATACTGTTGACTCCCACTTGATCCACACTCATAGCCTCCTGGGAGCACCCGACATCTCACTGAGCTTGGTGTTGATTTAATGGGATTGCTGCTGCATGGTTGCCCCAATCAAAAGTGACCCTGGAGGATGATGTTTACCATCGTTGTTGGTGAGAACAACCATAGGTTGCTCTTCCAATGGGACAAGCTGGAACCAGTACACTTGATCATATACTGTATATGGAAGGAGGATGTGGCCTGAGACATGGATGTATACTTCTCCGTGGCAGGATTAGATGGCTCAGCCAGCTGGCTAATGGCCTGGAAGGAGCAGACTGGAAGATGAGATTTGAGGAAATCTGGGGAAGTGGAATTCAGACAGACCTATGGAAGTTCATGGATAGATCTTTGGGTCACACATTAGTGCTCACCAAAGACCATATACATATTTGAGGTTCTCAGCCACCATCTGGACAGGGTGGCCTGTCCTGTGAGTTTGTCCTTCGATCTCTTCCCTCAGGTATCTCAGTATTTCTTCAATGTGTCTATGAAGAGAGTGGTCAAGGTAACAAAAACACAGGTTACAAAAGTCCCCAGACAGGGACTCTGACTTATTACTGTGATTGCTGAGTACCCAACCTGCTACCAAAAAAGACCATTGCTGAGTCCTTGAAGTGGCATCATTCATCACATCCACCAGCTAGCAAACTGGTGACAAGTCAATTACACTGGAAAGCTTCCGTGTTAGAGCAGGCAGCAATGCATCTTTCCTAGAATTGAAGCCAGCTCCAGAAAGAGATTTTCTTTAGTGTGATACATTACACACACACACACACACACACACACACACACTAGCACATGACACAATGCCTAGGGTATTGTAACAATTCGTTGGAGAATAAATGAATGAATACTAGAAATAAGAGTGTGAGCCAGAGATTGAAAGGCTTACATAAATTTGGGAAGATGAGTAAAGCTTCTCTACTCTCTTTGTCCTTATTCCTCAACTCAGGACATAGAACAAGCCCTTTACTGGGCCATGGTAATCCGTGTTCATCTAGATCCCCATCTGCAATCTCTCGGACAGCTCCTTCCCTGCAGGCTTACACTGCCACACCTCTCTTGTTGGTAAAGTACTCTGACAGATATTATTTTATTTTCTCTTTACCACAATCTCATGAGATAAGGATGTGGAGAGGGACAGGCTCATCAATTTCCATTTTCTCTTCTTCCTGGGCACAGGGCTCAATATTATTTCCCAACTTCTCTGCAGACAGGTTAGGACTGGATTACGTAGTTCAGACAAATGGAAAGTGATGTGTGCCACTTCCAGGCCTGGCACATACAAATCTCTCATGAATGACTCTCCCTTCTGATCTATGGAGACCTTGAAGGCCACATTCTGAAGATGGCAGCTCCAAAAGATGGAAGGAACCTGGGTGCCTGAATGACTGCCTGGAGCAGAAGCCCCTATCTGACTTGCATTGGACATGTACATAAACAAGAAAGGTTTTTATCTTATTCAACCACTCAGAGTTTGAGATTGTGGCAACAGCCAAGCCTAAATAAAGCAGGAAGACAAGTGAATTTTATGACAAAGTATGTACCAAAACTGAAACATCAAAAAGTGGAAATGAAAAATCACCTGGTTTGTGGCCAAACACACCTAGAAATGGCTTCATGGTTCCATCACTTGCTGGCTGTGTGTCTTTAAGCACATCATTTAACATATCTGAGCATCAGTTTTTGTATTTGTTAAATAAAGGGTTTAACAAACCTGATAACAGGTTTATCATAAGAATGAGCAATAATATTTATAATGTGCCAGGCTGGCACACAGTAGGTGGCATATGGTAGGTTCTCAGTGAACATCGCTGTCATTGTTACATCATAGACTCACATGGTTAATCACATCAGAGCTGGGGTCAGAGTCCCATTTTCTTGAAGGTCAACCCAGAACAGCCTCTACTATACACCTTGTTTTTCCCCAGCCCTGCTTTATGATTGAACGTCTTAATTATAAAGGAGTCTTCCTTCGCATTCATGTTTGTGAGAACAAGGCTGGAAGCCTCTTACAAACACTCTGCCTACATATCTTTGAAAGGCAGGGATTAGGTCCAGAGCACAACTGAAATGGTGTGGCATGAGTCTAGTTATAAGAGAATTCTACTGAATTTGGAATAAAGGCAATGAAGAAGTCACAAATAGTAACCAAAGCTACAGTATTTCACTATTTCACTCTGCAGTTTTTAGATTCAAACTTTTCAAATTTTGTCTCTTTATTTTCTTTGTTTTTTTTTTTTGTTTGTTTGTTTGTTTTTTGAGCCGGAGTCTTGCTCTGTCGCCAGGCTGGAGTGCAGTGGCGTGATCTCAGCTCACTGTAACCTCCACCTGCCAGGTTCAAGCCATTCTCCTGCCTCAGCCTCCTGAGTAGCTGGGACTACAAGTAGGTGCCACCACACCCAGCCAAGTTTTTGCATTTTTAGTAGAGATGGGGTTTCACTGTGTCAGCCAGGATGGTCTTGATGTCCTGACCTCATGATCCACCTGCCTCGGCCCCCCAAAGTGCTGGGATTACAGGCGTGAGTCACTGTGCCTGGCCAAACGTTGCCTGTTTCTAAGACTGTGTGAACCAGCTATGAACAGAAATAAATAAATAAATAAATAAATAAATAAATAAATAAATAAATAAATAAATAAAAGCATTTGCAGAGTAAGTTTTTGCAGTCTCTATTCAACATCCTTTACTCCTGTATGAGTCTCGCTGCGCCCTCTGGTGGTGGCTGTGAATTTAATTGGGTCCATTTATTCCTAGACTCTAAAGGCATTATGGAAATTCTCACGCTGGAGCATTGGAACTTCACCCTTGCAGAAGTTTCTGGTAATCACATTTACATACACCGACTGACCAGGGAAGATAAGGGTGACTAACCTCAGAGTGACCTGCCTGGAGGTCATCGGAGAATGATGAGAGCCTCAGAAAGGTGTTGGCAGGAATGGAGAGGAGCAAGCATTTCAAGGGAAGATTTGGAAGTAAGTGTACATTACAGGAAGGAGGCAACACAATGAAAGAATTGGCTACGAAATATCTCCAGACCACTGGCCACGGCCAGCTATTGAAGGCTATTCTTCTCATGAAAGATACAAGAAGTAGAAAACTTCGTGGGGCAATTTGAAGACAGCACATGCAGTTCTACCACGCTGCAATTCCCTGCTCATCTGCCTCCATCCTTGCACCTGCCACAGATGCTGGCCAACAACTCCCAGGCTAAGGAAATGGTGCAGGTCATGATACCTGAAATCTCACACCCACTGTTAGCATGTCTGAGTTGCTCCCGGTAGAGATTAACTCCTTGAGAAAAGCCTCTTCTGGGCTCCAAAGCAGAGTACAAGCAGTCCTAGGAAATGGTAACACCTTTTTTTTTTTAAGAATTTTGGAAAATTCGGAATAAGCAAAGATAAATGGCTTTTTATGCTGCAGGATATCTTTGAGCCTTAATTACACTAATGTGCTATGAGAGTTAGCTAGACAGAATTATAGAACAGCTTTTCCAGAATTTATTTGGGAATCATACCTACTTACAAGATGCTGTCCAGAACTCACTTGAGAAAAACTTTCTAAAACAATGGTAAACTCACTCTTTTTAAGGTCCTGGCTACCGGAGGATAGGCTCTTGTGATAACACTAGTCTAGGTCTCAAGATACCAGACTTCCCCATTGGATCTTCCACTGTATGTGTGCTTTTGGTTAGTTCTTTTCACTTCTTTGGGGTCCATTTCCTTACCTGCAAACCGAGGAGTTTGGAGAGATCTGTGATTTTCTCTGAGACAGAGAAACTGGGGGCTCCACGGCAGGACTCTGTGGGGTCTATGACAGTGATGCAACATCCACAAATTACAAAAATGAGAACTTCTAATCCATTTACTTCTTTTTACCTGTTTTACATTGAGGATTTACCAAAGATTTCATTTGAATAAAAGGGATTATTTGAACCAGACTTGGTGGCTCATGCCTGTAATCCCAAAATTTGGGGAGGCCAAAAGCAGGAGAATCACCTGAGGCCAGGAGTTCAAGACCACATTAAGAAACATAGCAAGACCCTGCCTCTACAAAACATTAAAAAGTTAGTCAGGTGTCATGGTGAGCACCTGTAGTCCCAGCTATCCCAGCTACTCAGGAGACTGAGGTGAGAGGATTGCTTGAGACCAGGAGTTCCACGCTGCAGTGAGCTGTCACATCACTGCATTACAGCCTGGGAAACAGTGAGACCCTGCCTCCAAAAACAGTGTATTTGTGAAAACTGGTTGAACACCTCTAGGATATTTAGTCTCTAAGGGCAATTCCAGGCATAGATAGTCATACAAGTGTATGAACTAGGATTCAGATAAAGCAGACTGGAATGACAAGATTTCCCAGGGTGGGCAGTTGCCAGCTGCGTTGCATGGCTGGGTCACACGAGCTCAGGGGAATTTTTGGACCATCCAGGTCACTTAGCTGTTGAGCATAATAAAAGAAAGAATGATGTGACCACACTGGAAATGGTTACAGGACACATTTTGGCAGCACTCGGAGAAAGCATCAATGGAGAGCCACCCGTGGAGAGCAGAAAGTCAATCAGGAGGACCCAGTCCAAACTCCTAGGGAAGGGACGCAGCCATTTTGGGTTGGTGATTTGTAGGTACTACCGAAGAAATGAAGAAACCTGGCTTTGTCAGCTCTTATGAGATAAACTCTGTCCTGCTCAAATTCATATGTTCAGTTCTGAACTCCCATTACCTCAGAATGTGACTTATTTGGAGACATGATCTTTACAAGGGAATCAAGCTAAAATGAGGTCATTAGGATGGGCTCTCATCCCATAGAACTGGTGTCCCTATAAAAAGGGAGAATCTGGGCCAGTGGCTTATGCTTGTAATCCCAGCACTTTGGGAAGCCGGGGCAGGTGGATTCCTTGAGGTCAGGCATTCAAGACCAGCCTGGCCAACATGATGAAACCCCATCCCTACCAAAAAATACAAAAATTAGCTGAGCATGGTAGAGCATGCCTTTAATCCTGGCTATACAGGAGCCTGGGGCAAGAGAATCCCTTGAACCTGGGAGGCAGAGGTTGCAGTGAGCTGAGATCGTGCCACTGCACTGCAGCCTGGGCAACAGAGCAAGACCTATATCAAAAAAAGATTAAAAAGTGTGTGGGGGGTGGTATCTGGACAAAAATATGTAGAAAGGAAAATGATGTGAAGAGACCCAGAGAGGAGATGGCCCCCGACAAGCCACAGAAATGGCCTGGGACACAGCCTTCCCTCATAGCCCTCAGGAGGAACCCCAATCCAGCCCACACAGTGACTTCAGACTTCTAGCTCCAGAGCTGTGAGACAATACATTTCTTCACTGACGCCACCCAGTTTGTGGTGCTTTATTACAACAGCCCGAGCCACTGCTATCCCAGGCCTGAGAACAGCATGAAGGGGAGCTATGCTAGGTCACAGAAGGGGAGAAAATCTAACCCAGGGCGCTTGTGGCTGAAGCTGTCTCTGCCTGGACTACTGCAGCAAGCCTCTTCTTGTCCCACCCGCCTGCTCAGCACTCCTGCCCAGTCCACAGTGTTATCCAACCATCTTCCTCCAGTAGCCCCCTTTCCTGCCACTCAGTTTCCCATACACCTGCAGGAATGCATTGCCATGTTTTCTGATGCTCCATGGGTAGGTCGCAGTGCTGCACCAGGCAGCCGCCGTCTTCATAGCGCTCTTCGAAAAAACTGCAAAACGGATACACCTAAGTCTAGGCTGTCTACTTTCTTCCATCCTCTCAATTATTAGATCCAGACCCCACCTGAGATCAAATAAATCACAATCCTTTAGGATAGGCCTGAGGACCAGAATATTTTAGAAACTACCACTCCCCTCCAACGAATTCTAAGGTGTAGTCAGGATTCAGAAACATTTCTAGACTCTCCTGCTCCTCAAGTCAGCCCTCTCCAGCTTTGAACCATGCTTCAAAAATATTTCTTTTTCATAGGCATCCAAACTCTCATTACCTCAGTGAAGTTACTCTCAGCTACAAGGAAGGAAATCTGATTAATATATGCTGTTCCTTCAAAGATGTATTGCCGTGCCAGGAGCGGTGGCTCATGCCTGTAATCCCAATACTTTGGGAGGCCGAGGCAGGCAGATCACTTGAGGTCAGAAGTTTGAGACCAGCCTGACCAACATGATGAAAGCCTATCTCTACTCAAAAAAATATAAAAATCAGCAGGGTGTGGTGTCAGGCTTCTATAATCCCAGCTACATGGGAGGCTGAGGCAGGAGAATGGCCTGAACCCGGAAGACAGAGGTTGCATTGAGCTGAGATCGTGCCACTGCACTCCAGCCTGGGTGACAGAGTGAAACCCTGTTTCAGTAAATAAGGAAAGAAGAAAAAGATGTATTGTTGCAATCAATATCCCTGGGGGATAGTTACCACTACAAAAAGATAATAGTTAGGCAAATTAACTCTAATTTGGAAGTATCAGAACATACTTTGATCCAAGAACTCCAGACCTACTATGTTAAATACTCCTTCTTTCCTGTTGCTTCTCATTTGTATGCTGGACCAGATAGAGAACAGGAATGTGTAAAATTATTTTCATTCCATTTCAAGAACAAAAACTATTGAGCATTTTCTACAGCCCCGACACTACGTCATTACTAAAGATATGACCATGAGGTCTCTACCTCCAAGGAAAACACAATCTAGAAAATAGATATCATGAGTCTAACAGGAAACCAAAGCTGAAATGAACCAATAACTAAAAATAAAGCAACATCAGAACCTTATCTATCAAAATATATGGACTTCAGCTAAAAAACAGAATTTAGAGATCAATTCATAGCCTTAAAATGTATATATCAGAGCCTTAGAAAGAAAATCAATCAACTAAGAATCCAACTCAAGGGCAATGAGGTCGTGGTGGCAGTGGGTTTCCCAGTCTCCCTACAGTCTCTCGGGACAACCAGGTAGACCAGATATCCCCAACTACCCACTACCCCAGCCACAACAACAAAAATTCCACCTCTAACCTTTTCAACCAAATTAGGTGACAGAAGACCTATCAAATCTGAGGACATGGACAAATACGCCAAACCAGCCACAGCAGGACTTGGCCACAAAATGATAAAATCACCCACAAATTCTCACCCCCAAAAGGAGAAGACAACACCCTGAGCAGAGCTGAGCACATCCTGAGCAGAGAAAAAGAGTCCCAGGGGCTCACAGTGAAGATAACTGGGCCTGGCTCTGGCTGGAAAGGGTGGAACATTTTAAATTCCTGAGAGTCTCAGGAATATCCGGCAAACAATTCATTCCAGAAGGAAAGAGCCACAGTCTGAGGGAAAATTACTGGAAACAGAAAAAACATCGAGCTGGGCTTGATTTGAGTAAGTGAAAGAGAAAGCATAGATCATAGGGGAGGAGGGTCCTGGGGAAGGAGGTCTCTGTAAACACTGCAGCATCAACATTCACCATGGGAAGCAGCATGGCGAAGGCCAAACCTAGGGTGCCCAAGGGCTGGGCTGGGGCTGGGGCTGGAGGCAGGAAACCCGGCTCATATCAAAGAGACAAAGAAATGGCTACAGAGACAGTCCTAATTTTGAGTTATTCATGGTGTCAACAGAAGAGGTGGCCTCAAGCCATGATCTGGGGTGCTGTCCCGGCACATCTCTCCCAAACTCTCTCCTCCCCCAGAGAATTTCCTCAGTTCCACACATAACCCTCCTTGCCCCATTGTGTAGCTGCAAACCAGTTTCTTCTGGTAACTGGAATAAATCACTCCTGTTAATAGAAAAAAACAAAAGCTAAAACCCTTGTTCTTCCAGAACCATAATACAAAGAGCCCAAAATAGCTGGATGGCATTCTCCCAATCAATGACCCTACACTAATGTGACCCCTGATACAAGCATTCTCCCCTTGGGAACTAAGACTTCCAAACCAGCAAAGCTCCAAGTTGCCAGGACAGGAAGATTCTGTGAGTGGGAGACTAGGTATAAGGGAGAGAGAGGAACTTCCACTTCCTGCCCTTTGATTTTCAGACTCATGAATTCTTGCCATGGAGAAGTCAATGCCATATAATGGTTTCTGATTCCAAGGACATACTTCACCTTCTGACACAGAACCCCATGCCTTCAGGACACTGCCTTCCAAGTGGTGGTGCAACTGAGTCTCCAAGAAGCGATTCCACCTTTCATTAAGGCCATTATTTCCAGGTGATAGGGTATGTGGAGGTACCAATGAATCCCAAGAGCAATAACCCACTGCTGTACTTCCTGGGCTGAGAGATACATTCCTTGATCAGACTGCCTTTGAGAATGCTCTGAACATGGATGGGGCATTCTGTGAGCCCATGGGTGGTGAGACAGGCACAAGCATTGCAGGCAGGGAAATGAAATCCTTGTCCAGAATGTGTGTCTATCCCAGTGAGAACAATCGCTGCCCAATTTCAGGATAGAAGAGCACCAATGTAATCAATCCACCACTGGGTGGCTGACCGGTCCCCTCAGAGAATGGTATCATATCGGGGACTGGTGTTTATCTGTGCTGTTGGCAAGTTAAGCATTCACTTAGCTATAGCCAGGTCAGCCTTGGTAAGGGGAAATCCACATTGTTGGGCTTATGTACAGCTCTATCTCCACTGCCATGACCAGTTTATCCATAAGTCCATTGAACAAGCCCTGGGGTGGCTGGGAAAATATACTGACTGACACTGATAGAGTATATCATTTGGTCTTCCTGACTATTGAAAGCCTCCTCTGATCTGCAAAGGATGTCTTTTGATGAGCAATCCCATGGGACATGAAAATTTTCAGTCTGCCCATGCTGAGAGGTCCATCCACATAACTCTCCCAGACTTCCCTGTCCCCAATCCTCCAGATCAAACCATTTACAATTTCTCTTTAATCTGTATAAATCCATGTTTGGATATGAATGTGTGTTTCCCTAAATTTATATGTTGAAGGCCTAACCTTCAGAATGGCTGCATTTGGAGATGGGGTCTCTAAGGAAGTAATTAAGGTTAAATGAAGTCATAAGGGTGTGGCCCTGATCTGATAGGAATAATGTCCTTAAAAGAGTAGACACTAGAGATGTGTTCTGGCTCGCTCTCTCTCTCTCTCTCTCTCTCTCTCTCTCCTTCTCTCTCTGTATACACACACACATACAAACACACATACACACACACACACATACACACACACACACACACACACACACACACACATATGAAAGTCCATGTGAGGACACAGTGAGAAGGTGGCCATCTGTGAGGCAGGAAGAGAGGCTTCACCAGAAACTGAATCAGCTGGAACTTGAAACTTCAGCCTCTAGAACTGTAAGAAAATTAATTTCTATTGCTTAGCCCACTTAATCTGTGGCATTTTATTATAACGCCCCAAGATGACTAAAACAGATTTTTGTATTGAGAAGCGGGGAGTTGCCATAACCAATGCTAAACATGCGGAAGTGGCTTTGGAACTGGGTAATGCATAGAGGTTGGAAGAGTTTTGAGGTGCGTGCTAGGAAAAGCCTAGATTCCCTTAAAGGAACTGTTGATAGAAACACGGTTGCTAAACGTAACACTGGTGAGGTTTCAGCTGAAAATGAGAAACGGTTTATTGGAAATGGGAGGAATGGCGATTCTTGTTACAAAGTGGCACAGAACCTGGCTGAACTGTGTTCTGGTGTTTTACTGAAGGTAGAACTTACAAGCAATGAAACTGGATATTTAGCTGAGGGCATTGCTCAGCAAAATGTTGAAGGAGTCATTTGGTTTCTCCTCACT